ATGGATGGATGGATGGATGGATGGCTGAATAAATGAATGAACTCATTGATGAATGCAAAAACAATAAAATAAGAAAAATTAATATACAGTCGACTCTCCAGGATTTCGATCGCAAAAGGGTGTTGATGTTCATTGTATCTTTTATCTAAGGATAAAATTTATTAATTGCTATGTCTGAGGGGTGGATCCAGAAATTTGTTAGGGGGGTGTTACAAATGAAGAAATGTATACAGTCCTTTGCAAAACATTCTTTGCTAACTGGCTTCACAACAATGTGACTAGATTGAACAGGAGTATGGGTAGAAATCACTGAAGTGGTTAGCTGCATGATTATGACTAAGCCACGTCTTGAGCTTACAGTGTTTTAATTTTGATGAGGCATGCCTCGAGCATACAGCATATTTCTTCACTGACGAGCAGTGTAGATGACACAAATCCTTGGCATGCAAACTAAAGAAGTAGCTATTTACTTGTTTTCTTTTTACAGAATGCAAAGGCACACATTTATTCAAGCTGTACTCTCYATGATTATATTGTATAGCGTGAGCTAAAATTTTATTGCTTCAGTGATTTTTACCCATACTCCCAATCGGGCTATTCAAATAGTCCCAGAGCCGGTCAGTCACAACGTTTTGTCAAAATACTGTATCCTCAAAAAAGCATTAGAGTAATTATGGTGTTAGGGGGTTGTCCTCTGCACGGCAGGACATCCCCTGGATCTGCCCCTTCGTCCAACTAGACATGACTCAGGTAACCCTTTGGGGTTGAGCCCTCTTATAGAAGAGAATTTCCTTTTGCTTTTCAATTACATGTATGACATATGTACAAATTTCTAGTTTTGGTAGATGTCAACCAAAGTGTTTCTATAACATTCCATAAGCATGTTCCCATTAAAGCTATATTTTCTCCAACAAGGTTTTTCTTGGGGTGCATGTTAGGTAATAGCGGAGGTCATTTTTATGTCATTTTTACCCATACTCTCATTCGGGCTAGTCACATAGTTAGTCAGCAACAACATTTTATCAAGAGACTGTATAGAGATAATATGCATCTCTTTAAAAAACTGTTAGAGTGATACTATTGTGTTAGGGTGTTGTCCTCTGCACCACAGGACACCCCCTGGATCTGCCCTTGTGTCCAACTGGACAAGAGAGAAAATTGTAAGGTTTCGTGTGTGTGATTAAGAAGTATTACTGTGCGAACACACTGACCATGACCACTTGGATAAAACTGACCAATCAGATAACAGTAAACTAGACAGAGATTGAACTGATAACAGCTTTAGCCAATCAGATTATCACGTTCTCACACTCTTATTATATCGATGCGCTATCTGATTGGCTGGTTAAAAAATATTGAACTAAATGTCGCAATATGATTGGTTAATTATAATAGTTTGTCAAAGTGGTCCTGGTTGGAGTATCCACACAGTAATTGATGTATCATATTTAATATTTGTTTCTTACCGTATTTAGTGTCTTTCATATTGACTGTGGTTTTACCAAATAATTTTCTTTCATAATCTATGAGATGGAGCCAGAACCCTCGATTGGGATTGATAAGAGCTCTCTTTTCCTTCACCATTGTGTAAGCATCTTTTAGGTTCATTTTTTGATATTTCATTAAATATGCTATAACCAAAGTAGATGATCTGAAAGTACAGAAATATAATTCTTCATGACCAAAATCTTCAATTATTACTAGTTTCAAGATTTAAAAATATATGATGATCATAATGATGATGACGATGATATGGGTTTATATGAATTTTATTAACTTTACAAAGCATGTTCATTTTGGCACCAAAGCTTTTCCAAATCCACATGAATGTCATAAAATGGAGACTTCCCCTGCAGAAATCCCTCCCTGTTGACAATGTTGAAGGTTTTAAGCAAGGTTTTAGTGAAACTTCTAAGGTTTCCTTTATAATCATCACAGTCTAACAAGTTTGTTTATACCAAACTTGCCCTTATAGGATAAGATTCAAGTAGCCAATTCAACTGCACCTCATGAGGTACTGACTAGGACAGCACATTCTGGCTGTAAACCTCATTGCTAAATATAGCACAATGATCTAATGGCTATCATGTATAGATTTCATATAGAGTTGTTAAGTTGTGACATATTTTCTTAAAAAATGCTAAAAAATAAAGCAAAAGACTTCATTTCAAAGGAGTGACATGACACTTTTAACAGCTCTACTACTTATTTTTTAATTTTTTAACAATATTTATACATGGATGTCACATTTAGTAGAAGTAGTTTAAAGACAGCCCTGTATAAATCATACTACGAATCAGCTACTACTGTTTATCCAAAGAGGTATACATTATAGAATACCCCGCAAATCATATGCACATACTTAATAACCATGACTTCTATTGTTGTATGTGTTGTTCTACAAAAAGTTCCAATAACTGTATATCATTTGCAGGGTATTCTATAATTGCTCCCTTATTCACTACCCAGCTTTCATGTATTGGTTCACTGATCAAACCCAAATCATAAACACTTAATCGAGGCTACAAGGAATTGTCAAAGGATTTTTCAAAATTGAACCTTGCAACCTCAACTGAATCCTTTGTGCTTGACCAGCAAACAGATGTATGGAAAGTGTTGATTATCTTGCCAAAGCACTGAGGACCAGGCTGAACACTGTTCATTTGCTCTTACCATACAAAACTTAGTTTATATTAAGGTTTTTATGTGAGGTCATGCTGTAGGAAAATTGGTCTGATCTGAAAAAGGAGTTCAAAGTTCCCATACTGATATGAGTAAAACTGTGAATTTTCATGAAGACCGCACATAAGCTACTGAAGATTTTTTTAATAAACATATACATTTTTTCGTAAAAGTTGTATGGTTCAAAAGTTTGTACTTTCTCTGGATTATCGACAATCTTCACGAACCTTTACAATTTTACTAATATCTATATAGGAGCAATTTTAGATTTTCTGCGTATCTAAGCAGGAAGCATTTTCGTGCCTGAGAACCCGTCACGTCACGTTATATATATACATATACCTGCTAACTCCAGCAACACAATGGACCAACACTCTTCCACTCTTTTTGTTTACTTCTTCTACAAGAACAACAACAAAAACATTAACTTCTCGTTAATATACGTTACAGTAATATACAAGTTTCTTACAAAAGTCTAACGATATGAGCTTTACTTACCTATTTTGTCAGCTACGTTGTCAAAATGACGTCCAATGTTACATTCGGGGTCGTCGTTTACCTTAACCCTCATACACTTTATTGATATTTTGTATTTGGGGCTTTCGTCCATAGTAGCTACGGAACAAGTCACGAAATATTCATCTTACGATACTAAAGATTAAATTTCAGATTTTTTATATTTTTATTAAATTATTGCAATTGTTATGAATACCGTTTATGATATGTGTGATTCCTTTCGCCTTCAGAATCTCTTCATCCATAGCCATACGAAGGCTTCCAAGGTACAAGAAATCTGTTATCTGACTCATGATGCTTAAAGGACTGTAATGGACCGCGGTTCTAAGCTCTGTGGAACGATACATGTGCATTTATTGAGAGAAATCCAGTCAATCAAGTGTTGGATGTCTCTCTCTGAATCACCTGGATCTTGATGAACAGGTATTATTGCTGGTTCAAATGAGGTCTCTCCTCACGAAGCTACCACAGGTAGCCCAATACCTTTAAAAAATATGGTGCACAAATTTGACAAAAATTGTTCCGTGATACTGACTAGTTTTTGATGTTGCGCCACGCCCCTGAAAATGATAACTTTCAGGTGTTAATACAGCAGTGGAATTAATTTTCTCTAAATTGCACTAATGTCTACGGGATGAATTTGTTATTTGAAAGCTCTTCAGTAAAGTAAATGAGAATGGCGCTACTATTCTTTAATATCTCTTTTCGAATCAAAAAATAAAGTCAAATGATCAAATAAAGAATGAAACACGCGTATGTTGGAGTTTGCCGCGTTTTACTCGAGATGGATTGGATGGCCGTATCAGAATAGGGATGTACCTGAGCAGTGGCGGATCTAGGGGTGGGTTTTGGGGGTTGCAACCCCCCCTATCAGAGCCATCTTGATTTATTATTATTAAAAAGTCGGGTGCTCAAAGTGCATGTTTGCAATGCTACAACCCCCCCTTTGAAAAAATCCTGGATCCGTGCCTGCTGAGATGGATTGGATGGCCGTATCAGAATAGGGATGTACCTGAGATGGATTGGATGGCCGTATCAGAATAAGAATGTACAAGAGATGTATTGCATGGAGGTATCAGAATAAAGATGCAAAAAATTACAATAAGCCTTGTACACGAGGTGGATTCGATGGACGTATCAGATAAAAAGGTATCCGAGTTGGATGAACGGTGGATGTATTTAAAGCGGAAATAAATGCTTGAAGTTTCTCTACAAAGATAGATCACTTTGATTCGTGATTAGAATTCGTTTTGATTAGTTTAGAAATCTTGCCCGGCACTGTAGTTTTTGTGCGGCAATCCGTGCATCTACCATATGTCTGATGACATATAATTTTTCAGTGTTTTTTTTTTGACTGAGGGCTTATCATAAGGGGGAGAGCTCATTATTAGAGAAATTTTCCTGATCTTTAATAAAAATTCATAATTATTTTTATTTATAATCTCGACAGTCACGAATGTACCTTATTATGGGACTTATTAGACGGCTGGGGGCTTATTAGAAGATATCCTGCTTGCAGAGGTCTTAAGGGAAAAATTGGAAAGGTGGCACGGGATGTTTACAAGTCAATCTACATGTCGAGAGTTTTGGGGCTCAAGTGTATTCTTGTACGCGGGATGCATATTTTTATTTTCTAGACAAACTTTCGGCCGTATTGGCCATCTTCATAGTCTCCCTCGCATCCGTTTTTAGTGTCGGTCGTCACGCAGGCTGGCTCGCGCAGTCGTAAGTTAAATCATGTAGCCCTGAAGATGGCCAATATGGCCGAAAGTTTGGCAAGAAAATAAACATTTTAAATGTAGCGGATACGAATCTTTCACTAGAAATTCCTGGGGCTATTCGCGTCTTGACCACAGGAAGCCGAATAACTACTTATTAGATTTGCTTAGTAAAACGTGGGAACCAAAAGTCCGATACATCACAAAGATTAAAAACAGGCTACAGTAGCTAGACTGCTTTTTCTATCTTTTTCACAGGGGGGAGGGGGGTTCACAGGTTCCCTAGGATTCCCTCCTCCCCACCCCCCTTGTGTACGACCTTGTGTCTTGAATTCTTAACATTTTTCTTGTCTAATTATGTCTTTTACTAGTTTCTTTTTCCATCGAAAAATTCTTTTATCTAAAGCATTCCATTTTCATAGTGATCGTGTTTGTAAGCTAAAAGCCCTAAAAGATAAAACACAGAGAAGGAACGGTGTTGATGTACAAAGACGTCGGGCCGGACAAGTATGGTCCGAGATATCGTATGGTACACTTCTGTATAAATGAAGTTGAAATATCTAAGCTCGTGTACCTCTTGCAACAGCAATAGCGTTTGCCATACCACATGGGAAAAGCTCATAGGAACCTCTTGCATTTTTCGTTTGATTTTGCTTACCATGATATTTCAGCAATCCTATCAAGAAGTTGTCACTCCAACTCTTAAAGATCATTTCCGGTTCCGGTGTTATTTGATTGGCTTATCAAATCCCTTCAATGTCAAGTTGATAACAATCGATCAATTGACAGCAGCCAAATGAAATCAACAACAGAAATAAGATCGAATAACCTTCAGCCTTCCTAACGATTTGGCTTGATTTTACTCCAAGCAAACATACCGATCGTCAAAGCGATATCACTATTTCAAAGACCTTCACCTAGAGCCTTAGCAGTGGAGTTTTGTCGCTTCTAAAAGGCCATGGTGAAACCAGAATTGAAAGGCGAAAAGCCAATTCTCCTTCCGTCGGAGAGCGAAGACTCCATTGACGCACACGATCAAAACGTAGAACTCGTGGTTTGCGACAAGGAAGACGGAGCAGTGACGGTTACCTTCGACGAAACAAGAGCTCGCAAAGGTCCTCGAGTTTGTGTCTTTGTTGGGCTTTTCGTTTTTGTCTTGGTCGTTGGATTTTTGGCTGTTTATTTAATAGGACGAACACACGGGTAAGTCGACGCATTCACATTCAGCATCGAAAAATGCCTTCTTTTGTCTTACTATTATTATAAATTTCACACCTCCCTTTGTACCTTGAAGGTTTTTGACTCTGTTAGATCATTTTCACTGCACATTAGATACTAAGCTATTCAGCTTTTCTTTCTATTAATTTACGATTCGTTGCGCTTTAATAGACAAGCGTTCCTTCAAGCTTCCTTCGGCGTTCCATTTCGTGCTCTTGGACCCTGAATAAACAATCTAAGCTCATTATCTAGAAATACCAGGGTTTCCTATCCATCCACAAGCGACTATTCAACCGCGTGGCAACCATCAGCTTCCTTTTTAGTCTAAAAGCACCGCTTTTTAGAATGCCAATGATCAAAAAATACACCTTGGTACAACAAGATTTATCTGTTTTATTCATGACACGAAATGTCTACAATAACATTGTAATGGTTTTCGGTTGAGTGCACGGCGATCAGAATTCTTAAAATTATACACCGCTAGCTATGGACTATGACACATTTATTTTTTGGAATAAAAGCATAATGTATAAAAGAGGTTGTTTTATAGAGAAGGAATTTTGGAAGGTCGATATAGGGTATGTTCAGATACTATATGCACTCCAATGATTATGTGCCGAATGGCATGTATTGTGCGAACCAATTATGTTATTAATAAATTTAGTTTTGTTGCAATATCGTGCGCGTAAACAGTATCATAGTTTACTAGCATTATTGGCATAGCAATCAGAGTTATCCTAAGTGATTTTATTAACGTTTCAGACGCGATCAAAGAGCTCATAAAAATACGAAAACTTGTACGTCAATACTCTAATAACGTAGATAAGAGGGAACAAATTTGACCGCAATTCAGAGCTTTTCGGGATCAAATCAATAGACGACCCTTTGTTGGAGTGAATTTTTGAGGTTTTAACCCAACTTTTTTTGGCTTCTGGTTTGATTTTATTTGCATTTCAAAGGCAAAAAATAATGAGTTTGAATTCCATTAATTTAGTCTTAAATTATTGAAAAAGGGAGTTTTCCATTTTACTGCAGTGTTGTGTAGGATAATTTACACTCTGTTTTTCTCATTCCAAAACATCTAAAATCAACGTTCCTATGAAAGTATAAATAATAAAGTTTCTCATGCATATGAATATTTAATAATGAAAATTTTCAACTCTGAAGAAATTGTTTGCAAAATTAACCCAATTTTTTACTTGTAATAATTTTTTCATGTTTGGAAAAAGTAATTTCCACATCAAGCATCCCCCCAGCTGTTTTACGTTATAGTTGAAACATATTGTCCCCATAGATTGTATTTGGGGTAATCTCTGTTATTTACCATACTTTTGTGTAGGATATCACACATGTGTTTTATTTTTCCACACTATCTAAGATTTGAGGATATCAGGTTATCCCAACATACTGAAACAATTAAATCCTAGATTAGGGAAAATTGAGTTATTAGTTATATGCCAGTAGCTCAATAGCCCTCAAGGTGCAATATGATGCCGTCTTGTTCATTACCTTTCATCATGGATTACTGGAGCACTAATTTCATATCCACTGCATAACTGCAGACTATAGGTAACATGTACATTAACACCTTATTTATAGTGCTGAAGACTAAATGTTAAAACACTTGTTTGAAAACTTCTGAAGTTTAAGACCTACCAAGATTTTTAGTAAAGAAAATTTTATCAGAACTCTTAGGTTTGATTTTGATATGAACAATGGTATTAATGATATCATTCATCTAAATTATTTAAAGAAAAATTTAATTAAGAGTTTCAAGTTCAACCATGTATGTGGTTTTTCTTGCTTCAAAGGATACTTTTGTTAGAACAATTTTGAACGATCACTTTTAAATTCCATAAATTGTTTTTCATAAACAAAAGCTCAGGATTTTGTATTAAACATGACTTAAGTTGTTGATCATAACAGATAAAGGCGACTTAAGGCAATCAAGTGGATCTCCTCAAGTTTTTCTCATGTTAATTATGTTATAGTAAATGTTTCAATTACAGCCCGCCACATGGACATATGAGAAACATTGACAAGTTACCAGCAAAATTTAGACATGCAATGAGCAGAATTGAGACATGAACATAAAAAATTTTTATCAAATTCACTTTTTTTGAAAAATTCTTTTTTTTCTTCTGTCTTTATTTTTGTCTTGGTAAATATTAGATGATGCCTCTCTCCCCAGGTGCATCTTCTAGATCTTATGACCTCCCCCCCCTCTTATCCAAGATCCATCCATGAACTTTAATAACAAATCATCACCTTTTTGTTTTTCAGCAAGGATCGCAACCATGGGTTACCGACAAACATGAAAGATGACATTGCAAGAGTTCCCACGCTAGAACCAGAGCTTGGAAATCTGAGCAAATATTGGCAAGAACATTCATGGGAAACTAGAGACGAATTGTTTCAGTTGGGAGATGCTATTGGTTCAAACGACATCATTGGGCTGAGACCAATTTACAGGAAAGATTTGCCAAAAGAATATATTGCTTACTGGGAAGTAAAAATGAATGGGAAGACAGGAGAGAAATATCTCATCATTTCTGCAGGTATTATATTTATCCATCCATCCATCTTCCCATTTTCCATCTGTCCATTAAATCATCCATCCATTACTCCTTCTATCCATCTATCCATCTGTTTGTCGATCGATCAATCCATCCATCCATTGATCTACCTTGTCCACTCCATTCATCAGCTCATTTATCCATCTATTCCTTCTTCCATCGATCTAGCCATCTGTCTATTCATCCATGCATCCAGTCCATCTTGTACATCCCATTCATCAGTTCATTTCTCTCATATCAATTGAATAGCTCAAAATTAGCACTTCTTAAAAAATGTGGAATGTTTTTAATATACTTACAGTTCTATTGTTTGTTCCAATTCTTTCCCAGCAAAAGAGACTGGCGACCATCGTCTTGTCCAGGAAGGTGCCCTACCCAGTCCTATAGACATTATGACCGACTATGCTCGCTTACGAAGCCATAGCTGTCACAGGGTTTATCGACTCACCCCAGATGGCCTTATGACCTGTGAAGATAACAACCTTAAGAGAACAGTAGCAGCAACTAGGGATGTTGAAACAAATGCAGAGGTGAGGAACATGTACAGTTGAGAGTCAAAAACCGTGTGGTGGCCACAAAGGAAGCTAATGAGAAGTGTTTTTTAAAAATACCGCCACGACTGTATGACGTAGTCTGTTATGTTTCCTTTGATTTGATGGTTTTTCTCCGTGCTTCCGGTTTCCCTTTCCTTACAAAACCAGGCAAAATAATAACCTCTTGTCAATCTGTTCAATTAGTTCCAGCAAAGACAGTGGAAAAAACTCGACCGTCAAGTAAAAAAAGCTCTCCCAAGGTTCAAGAAAGCTTGGAGAGACCTTGCCAGACGAGTTACAAAGTTACCAGAATGGAGAAGATTTAAGTGGCTGTCAATGAAATCTGGTAAGAGTTTTTTACCCTAAAAGTGTTGTCTTTGTTTAGTTTAGACGTTTGCAAGCAGTAGAAACAAAACTTGAAGCTTGTATTGCTGCATTTAGATTTGACCAGGAGGGCTTGGCTTGGCAAAATAGGTCGTACATCAAAGTGCCTCTCTTGACAAAGGAGTACGAACAAGAGAAAATGAACTGGTTTAATAATTTCTCTCTTGGAATGAAATGCAAAGGTGTCCAGTAGCCTTGTTTACTAGTTTCCCATCTTGGGAAGGAGTAGAGATATACTCTTAGTAGTTTCGGAATTCAATTGTCTTAATTATTCCAGGTAAAATGCCCACCGAGAAAAGCTCCAAGCACGACAGCAGCAGTAGACATGAACATGATGATGATTATGATGATAATTACGTAACCGAAGAAGATGATGAGATGGAAGCAGAGCTGGCTGTCAGGCCAGGAGAGGTCCTCAAAGTACCGCTCATAGGAAAATCCTGTCAAGTCCGTATCAAATTCTCTGGTTTTGGACAGATAAAACGACACGGGAGAAAGCGAAAAACCTGGTTGAATCGGTGGCAAAAACGGCTGTGTCGCGTACTGAGTGACCCTTGCGAGGGCTCAGATATGACGAGAGTTAAATGGCGTTACATAAAGAATACGAAAATGGGAGACCGCTATATTGGACTACAAATCGTATCAAGCAGCCAGTATGTTCGAAAGCAGCTCCAAGGACAAGAGATTCGATTCCGTATTGAGGTTGAGATGAACAATCGCAAAACGTTGGTGGTGAATTACGGAATTATGCTCAGGCATAGCAGGAGGGGTAGATCTGTTGAAGGCGGAGACGTCAATCATTATAGTATCCCTCACAGACATCTGTTTCCAGACTACAAACAGCACCAACACGGTCTCTGTATGACGGGTTCCGGGGCGGTGGCCTGGGGAATGGTTTTGGGATACATGGATAATTTGGCTTACAGAGTCCCAGAGTCTGGCTATCCGTAAGTATTTTAACGTACAGATATAGGTTATATACCCTTATCAGAATTAACTTGGATGATAGACTAACATTTCTTGTGAGTAGTCGGTTTGTTAGGCTTAGGGTTGCAATTCGATCCCGTGCCCTGAGTCACATCATCCCGGCAAATATGTAGCAGGGTTGGATAAAATCGAAGCTTTTCACGGCAACGTTTCTCAAACTTTGGTCACTTCACTAACAGCTGATTGTATCTATTTGTAGGAAGAACATTCTAGGGCTTTTCCCAGGTACGTCTCCCGCTCCAATGACAACAACCAAGTACGCCCAAAGCGCCATAGAAAACCTCTTTGAGAAATTAGAAAGCCGGTGCTCTCTAGAAGACAAAGCCGCTCTAACTTCACCAGCTAAGATGGAACGTATCGGCAAATGGCTAAATCACACTGTCCTTCAACTTATCATCGAAAATGATTCATTGAACAAGGAAACAGCCACGGCCCGAGCGGTTCAACTCCTTCAAAAGAGAGTACCGGTAATTATTAGCAAAGAAAGAGGAGACTCTTTGTATCATCATTACTCTGTGGCGACGAGGTTAAGGCAGCGTATCCATCGATACCGTAACTGTAAAGTTACTTGTTCGTCATGGCGTACGTTGGTCGAGAACGAAGCGTACGTCCATCTTGGAGTCGGAAAATACGGAAATAAATGGGAAAACATTGATACACATTTTATGGCTGCAATTCTGAAAAAATAAGTAGGAATAGCGGTGAATAAATCCTGCCATTTGGACGGAAAGGAGGATAGATTCAACTGAAAAACTAGCTTAGTTCTCAACGCTTTRAGGCGCTATTCCTTTCGAAAGACTGCTCAATATTTACTCTGAAATTTTGAGTATCTACATCTTGAAAGTGTACAGACAATGTACAGAAAAGTGAGATATTTCTCTAAGAACTATTTTATGAATGAGAAAGAGCGTGTTTTGCACTTTCTGTGAGCTTTGTCAGGTATATCGTACGTAATGGACAAAGTATTTCTGAGAGACTTTGCCAATCTTGCACTCATTGTACATAACAGAGTTGAAGAATCCATTGTAAATTACAATGCGCGAAAAAATGTTGGCAAAAAACAAAATCACAGCAAGCCACATCCTCTAACCGGCATATCTTCATATCTTCAGAAATTCCAACAACGCGCGTTCCGCGTTTTAGCTACCGTGAAAGCCGGTGTCTGGTGGGCTGACAATTAAAAAACACCGAAAACCAACATTTAATCGGACTGTTTTTTTCAGGATTCTCTAACTTACCAAAAATTCCTTATAAATTCAGTTTATGGCGAAAGCCAAAAATTCTGGTCAAATTTTCTGACAATATTTGGTGCGGACGATGATTGGTCAAGGTAGGTTATACGTCATTTGAGGTACGACCAATCATGGGCTTAGCTTGTCTGACCAAATATGGCTGGTGGGAAGCTAAGCCATTTTGAATATATTAATAATATTTGATCTAACTCTCCCAAAATATTACACGATGGTCCCATTTTTTTGGAAAAAGAATTTAAATTTAAGATTTCTGAAGGCAAAATGGATTTGGTGGAATGTTGTGAGATATTCTCTCTACCGATCGAAAAGCGCATTTTTCGTCTTGTATATTTTTATGTCACTCGTATATTGTATTCAATACACAAATAATAAAAGCAATCTTTAAAAACAGTTTCATTGTGCTGAACCAATCTTCACTCGAGGCTTGGGATGGCCTTTTACAAGGTTACCTTTTACCCACCTAGCCAGTCATGAAGGCCAGAGCCATTTTCTTTTTCTTTTGCTGTCATTTTTGCTCAAACCTCGCTAAAATTGGCATGGCCACATAATTTTATAAGCTTAAAATAAGATTCTAGGATGAAAAGTTTTGTGATAATGCGGTCACGTGACCTTGATCCTCACTTTCATGCACCCAATTCTTTGAATTAATATGGGGTGACGGTTATCAGATGTACATTCATACTATATTTTCATTCTTTCTAAAAAGAGGTAAATGAAACTGCCCTGGTCATTTAGGGAATAATTGCCTATGTTTGATTGGACAAGCAGGTCACGTGACCTATTTTGCATAATATCCCCTAAACGAGCAATGGTAGTTCAGGTATTAGGGCAGATTCATATACATCTTAAAGGGAGAAGGGAAAATATGTCATAACATTTTATGTACAGATGCAGATGATAACCATAACCCCATTTTAATTCAAAATGTTTGGGTGCATGGATCAAGGTCACGTGACCGCCTTACCTCAAAAATTTTCATCCTAGAATCGTAGCTCATAAATATATGTGGTAATGCCAATTATGGTAAGGATTAAGTAAAATACGACAACATAAGAAAATAAAATGGTTTTAGCCATAAATGGCCTTCAACCCAGGCTATAACATACTTGAGTTGGCAGGGTATAAAATCAATTAACAAGCACTGAAATTATTCGGCATGGGAAAATGCTATATTAACCCTTGCACGTCACGAGGGTAATTACTGGTTTTCAATAACATTTTTGTCTTAATTTAAGTTTTTGTCTTRCTAAGAAAAACTGGAAGAAATAACGGCTGAATGGTTTTCGTATCATTTTTGGGAACTGACGATACTGACTACAGCACGTACACGATACTACATGCGGCGATATTATTTATCGAAAAGAAAGATGCGTTAGGTGCAAGTTATATTTACGGTAGCCGTTGAATCCAAAGCTCTTTGAAACCTTAACATTCACTCAATTGAGGATAGGTCATATTTGAACATTATTATAATATTCTTAAATAYTAATTTATCTTTTACAAACTCCATACATTTATCAACACCCAAGAGTGGCATCACATGGTGTGAAATGTGCACACCAGACAAACAACCAAGTTAAAGAGTTCAAAGGCAAAATGGATTTGGTGGAATGTTGTGAGATATTCTCTCTACCGATCGAAAAGCGCATTTTTCGTCTTGTATATTTTTATRTCACTCGTATATTGTATTCAATACACAAATAATAAAAATAATCTTTAAACATAGTTTGCTTGTGTTGAACCAATCTTCACTCGAGGCTTGGGATGGCTTTTTACCTTACCTGAGTTTCAGCCTGAAACTTCCGACAGCTCTTTTTGCTCCTTGGGCTTCCTGTGGCGAAGACAAAAACCCAACAGAGAACATATTGGGTAGTCTGCGGAGAAGGGTTGATTTTTTGCGTGTTCGCGGAAGTTGCATAAAACTTTTTTTAACCGAATATTCCGTTGTTTCTCTGTCTGTCTATAGGAAACTACAAAAAATACATTTAAAAGATTTCTTACGACGGATATTCGCATCTATTTACGATACGTGTTTGAGGATTTAAGTATATTGAATTACGTATATCAAACGCAGATTTGACCTCTAATAAGAGATCCAAGAGTAATGCCAAGATATATAGCATCTCGGTAAGTCCCAAACAAAAGATGTCGGCCAATGGCTTCAGACTTTTACAAGATCCTCAAGAAATATTTCAAGCAAGAACGTTATTGTATAAAGTCAACATCGAGGAATTTAACTGGAAATTCATGCCTAATAATCCCAGTGGAAACTCGCTGGAGTGTCGAGAATACTAACCCGAGAGAATAGGTTTAGTAAAATTGATTTGGAGTTGTATACGACTCGAGTAAAAATGATCCTTGCATGCACCCCATTTTTTGACTTTAAAATGGGGTGACGGTTATCATATGTACATTTATACTATATTTTCATTCTTTCTAAAAAGAGGTAAATGAAACTGCCCTGGTCATTTAGGGAATATTTGCCTATGTTTGATTGGACAAGCAGGTCACGTGACCTATTTTGCATAATATCCCCTAAACGAGCAATGGTAGTTCAGGTATTAGGGCAGATTCATATACATCTTATGGGGAAAGGGAAAATATGTCATAGCATTTTATGTACAGATGCAGATGATAACCATAACCCCATTTTAATTCAAAATGTTTGGGTGCATGGAAGTAAGGATCAAGGTCACGTGACCGCCGTACCTCAAAAATTTTCATCCTAGAATCGTAGCTCATAAATATATGTGGTAATGCCAATTATGGTAAGGATTAAGTAAAATACGACAATATAAGAAAATAAAATGGTTCTAGCCATAATTGGCCTTCAACCCAGGCCATAACATACTTGAGTTGGCAGGGTATAAAATCAATAGGCCGTTTCACAGTGGGGAGGGGGCGTTGCGTGACGACCGACGGGAGACTAGTCGAATTCCTAGAAGACTTCAATCTCATAGTCGCGTCCACTGTTGACGAAATTTCTGTCAGAAATCCTAAAAGTGGGAGTGCTCGCGACTACTGCTAGCAGTCAAGGAAAACTGATACATATACGTACCAACAATGTTACGTGGTCGTGGTCGTGCCGGAATTTTTAGAGTTCTAAGAAACTCACGCGAGATAGACTCAGCGAGGAAGCTGTTGTACAAAGTCTACGTCGAGGAATTAAGTTGGAAATTCATGCCTAATAATCCCAGTGGAATTCATGTACAACAACTGGCAAGCGGTGAAAAGATGCTTTGTGACCACTTTGACGATGAAGCGGTATGGATAGGCACGTTTAAAGGCCAGGAACTCGCTGGAGTGTCAAGAATACTAACCCGAGAGAATAAATTTGGCAAACTTGATGTGGAGTTGTATGAGTCGAGTAAGAAGCCTTCGACCCTCTTTAGATTGAAAGAGCCATGCATTGAAATTCAAAGGATTGGCAGCTTAAAGCAACGTAGAAGAAAGCATAAATTTTTAGCAGGAATACTATTCTTTAACCTGGGTTTTGCTAAAACAAGAAGATCGAATGTCCTGGTTAATAGTAGTTTGAAATATATACGCGTTTCTTTGGAGAACTTTGGCTTTGAATGTATTGACGATAAATTTTTTTACGGTGAAGAAAATGAACTACCTTCTTCTCTTTATTTGTTGTCTTTTTCTAAGATTGACGACGCCATAAAGAAGTTGAAAGATCGTGTAATCCAGTGACAAAACGGGTAAAGTCAAAATTGATCGTGAAAGATATAAAATTGAACTTGGTGAACATATTGTTTTTAGAAATAAAGTGAAGTCAAGCATGTTAGGGTGGATCCAAACTAATTCAGAGCTAATTTTGGACAATTTTATTGTAGCTCGCTTCGCAAAACTAGTACGTTTAATAATTTAACTGACTTTTTCATTTGTCGTACTTTACAAAATGTAATTATCCTATGCAAATTTATTGGATATTAATATTCTGCCGCAATTATAATAATTTAAAATAGTATTCCCACGTACTTTCCGGTCCCTGGGGTATTGAAGGGGTTGCTCATTGGTTGGGAACTGATGTCGACCCTGGCACATCCTTAGCACTTCGTGCTGGATTCGTTTCCGGTCGGAGTGGGCATCTATATCTATCCATATACAGTCGACTCTCCCGTAAGCGACCACCTCGGGGCCAGGAGAAAGTGGTCGCTTACGGGAGATGGTCGCTTACGAGAGTTAACACAGGAAGCCCAAACAATGGGAATCCCAACACCGGAAGCCTAAATTCTTTATAAGTTTGTAACTCACGTGTAAAAACTACTGTATTAACGATTAAACTGTTTTAATCAAAATTTTGAATGTGCTATATGTTTACAGCAGTGTAATTGTCAATATTTGGTCGGGTTTTCAATACCCGATGACTCTTTGTTCTTAAATTTTTTATTGTATAGGATCTGTCACCATTACTGGCTCTTGGGTGGTCGCTTACGGGAGAGTAAAAACAATAAAAAATTCCAAACTTT